TGCTGAGACCGAATGGCATGACAACGAACTCGTAATGGCTGTAACGAGTCCTGAAAGCGGTCTTAGCGATATCTGACTCCTTAATCTTCAGCTGGTTGTAGCCTGATCATAAATCAATCTTTGAGAATACACAGGCTCCCCTCAACTGATCAAATAAGTCATCGATCCTGGGAAGCGGATACTTGTTCTTGATCGTCAACCGGTTAAGATCCCGGTAGTCGATACACATGCGCATGGATCCGTCCTTCTTCTTAACAAAGAGAACGGGTGCTCCCCAAGATGAGACGCTCGGTCGAATAAAACCGAGTCGTAACAGCTCCTGAATCTGCGCCTTAAGCTCCTGTAACTCCTTTGGCGCCATACGGTATGGGGCTTTAGATACTGGACCGGCTCCTGGAATGAGATCGATAGAGAACTCCACCTGCTGGTTAGGCGGTCTTCTTGGAAGCTCATCTGGGAACACATCCACAAACTCACGAACAACTAGAACATCGTGAGGTGATCGTGCTTTCTAAGAATCATCAACAAGGCTTACCAGATAACCCTGGCAGTTGTCTCGTCGCAGCAACTTAGTGGCTTTCGCCATTGACACAACATGAGGTAAGGAACGATTCTTGCTGCCAAAGAAGGTAATCGAATCGTCTCCCGGAAGATAGAGAGTAATCTCCCGGTCGTGACATCTGATATCTGCATGATAAAAGGATAGCCAATCCATTCCGAGAATGAGGTCAAAATCCCTCATCTCGAGAACAAACGCGTCGGTATACAATGAACGACCACCGATGGAAAGGCTAAGATCTGAAGCCTTAGCTGAGGTCACTATCTTTCGTCCCGAGGCTAAACTCACCTCGAGAGGATCGACAGCAGTAACGGCATGAACTCCGATGGCATGAAGACATCGTCGTAAAATGAATGAATGCGTTGCTCCAGTGTCGAACAAAGCGAAAACAGGAAAATCATTAAGCACAACCATCCCTGACATAGTACCTGGCTGCTGTGCTGCCTCGGCCTGATCAACCGCGTAGACTCGGGCCTGCTGTCTGCCCCTCTGCTACTGCTGCTGAGGCAGCCTCTGTG